TTTTAGTCGGGCTATTCTGAAGAGCTTATTAGATTTTCGAAGCCAGAAGCAAAAAAATCATGTATGCTTATAAGCATGATTTTTCTTCCAACTTCCAGCCGGTCGTGCCACTAGTTATACTCCGACAGAATGTGCAGGGGGAAGATTATAACTCTCTATAAAGTTATTCTAAGTAATAATCCCTATAAAAATAAATATATCTCTATAATAAATAATCTGTAAAATATTATATGTCAATCTTAGTTTCAAATTTTTGTTAATTTTACAGTGATGTGTGTGGGTATTTGGGAGCGAGAGAATCATATTTCTGAGCTTCAAAATTGTCATTTATTTTCAGCTTCATATTTTGTCATTAAAATACTTATCCAAAATTCTACAAGTTTCTGAACATACAAGTTATAAAAAATGTTACAAAGTTTTGCTGGAGTAGAATTTTTTACAACAGAAACATAAAATATCCTGCCGAATATTTTCGTCATATTTGGTTTTTGCGGGACAAAAAAAAAAAAAAAAAAAAAAGGTAAAATGATCACATTGGAATATTTATTTTAGATAACATGTTATTTTTATATTGATTCTTTCCTGTAATACCTACAGCTTCTGTCTTCTTAACCAGAATGCAAAAACTGTGTTGAGTTTGAACAACGAAAAATATGTAATTATAGCTTTTGCAAAGCACAAGGAAAGCAGTTGGTTTAGCAAGCTGCCCATTCTTATGTCGATTTGGATTTCGCTGAGTGTTTTCTTGCATTTCATAACATTTTATGCATACATATTGTGATTAGTTGATGGAAAGCTTATTACTACATAAAATACAGTTCTACTTCAATAATGTAGTATACGGGTAGAATTTAAAAAATTTATCAGAAAACAACAAAATTTCAAGCATTCATTTCGAATGTTCATTCGAATTCCTTCGAATGAAGGGACATCATCATTTCGAATGTCATTAACTGTGTCAATATCATATAGGCACAGCTTTCTTTGCCTCCGTTTTCTTATCTTTATGTCCTCCTGGATCCACTGGTGACTTAATTATCATGCATTATTTTCTATAATTAAAGTTAAGTACCGTAATAGCTGTCATCTTTAGCCTTGAAGTTTTTTAAATTTATGCACCTGTTTTAATATTAAAAACACCTCTGAAAAGAATTTTATTTCTGATATTGCTATTATTTGTAATTGTTTCATATCAGAATATGAATTTGCTAATTAGCAAATTCCGTGCTATAAGATCTTGAATTATTACTTTTTTTCATTAAAAAAAATTCTTACAGCTTTTCATTGCATTTTTTAAAAAAGTTTTTTACTAGCATTATGAAAGAAATATATAGGAAATTTAATTAAATATAGTTTAAAGTAATTTTTGGAAAGCAAAAAATTTCAGTATTTAACAGAGAGAATTTCATTTTTACGGAACACTTGATAAATGAATTTTAGGGCTTTATTATTAAAACCAAAATCGTTTCTTTCATGCACTTATTTAATTAACCTCTTATTAATACTATGTTTTCTAAATCTCATATTTCATTTCACGAAGAATTAAATAAAAAAAATCAAGGATTATTTATTTAAAAAAATTAAAATTATGTCTTAAAACAAATGAGTTTATTTTGATAAATATTCTTGCTGTATTTGGCTATATTTGCAAAGAATTATCGTTTTCCCCGACGCTTGCTTCATGGTGTAAGTGCTATCATAGTGCTTGCTGTTATCACGTCCACCTAGCTATTGGAACATCGACAGTATGTATCCCAGGAATACAATCACTTAACAGATTTTACACTAGTTGCCGAATCTTCTTTATATATTGTATATAAGCGACTAAAGTGTGTGTCGCCAATAGTTTTTTGTTGCTACTCGGAAAAAACGAGCGCGGAAATTAATGTTTTCGCAGTTTTTCTCAGCCGATTATAGTCGTATGAAGATGAGAACGGCATCGATGGATTCCGAGAATTTTTTGGAATTCGAGGATACGTGTCTCGAATTTCAACTCGGCACGTTCCGTAGATATTCGAGAAAAAAGAATTTGGCACGTAGCCAAATCCCTCTAATAGGGAAAACCCAAGAAAGAAAGTAGAAAATGTAGGGACAACTTAGGGAAAAATTAGTTTTTAATTAATATCTCGGCTAATTAAAGTCCCAAGAAGACGTGAATGGTCAAAAAGCCGTGCCAAGGACCTCCGGAATCCAACGGTGTGCTTTGCTAAGCCCGGGAGCCAGCCGTTTCGGAGGAGATGATGTTACTTCACCCTATATATATATATATGTGCGGCTTAACTGTCTGTTTGTCGCCGATAGTTTATTGGTCTGCTTGCGTAACTGTACTAGCCAATGGGGAAAGTTGCCACAACACAGGGTTGCCGTTTCAATTGAGACGTAGGCAATTTCCTGTACAACCTGCCTTTGTTGTGACCATCAATAAGTCTCAAGGGCCAAACGCTTATGCGTGGTTGGCATTTTTTTACCTGAGCCTGCATTTGGGCAACAGTCAACTTTATGTTGCTGTATGTTCAAGAGTTCGTGAAAGAACGGACGTAAAATTAAAAATAATTGGGATAGTCCTCTGCAAGGCGAGCTTAAAAAATGATGGAAAGATCTACACAAGAAATGTTATGTACAAAGAGATCTTCGACATGTGAGTTAACATTTCATTATTTAAATCATTTTTATTGATTGAGCTAGCGGTGGACTCTTAAGAATTGTACCGCCAGTGGTTTCCTTCATTGTACCCTACTTTAAGCAATTAAGCAAGTAGAAGGGGGAAACCCCGTGGGACAATAAGCAAAGGGACGTCCTCGCCGCCTGCCCTGGGCAATTCAGTTTAAATTAGCAGACACCTTTGCACAAATCATTTTAATTACAGTTTATAATATCTAGGCGGTCATTTCGTATGACCGCCCGGCTTTCTAGTTGAATATAACGGATGATACTTCCTCACAATCTCAATTTCGTTCGGGATGTATAATAATCTTTACAATGATGCTGAAATTAAAATATGGTGAATAATAGTTCGTCATCCCGTGGCTTTGATTATAAGCTCTCGTGCGTCTGCTCTGTCATCCTTCAAAGGGGAGAGATGAATACAAATTTTATCGCATATTCTCGGGCGTGCTCTCTTAGTGTAACTGATTAGCACAATCTAATTGTAATTGCAAGATTTGTGGTTTGAAATCCGGCGAGGGCACATATGACTTTCCCTTTGTTCTTGCCAAATGAACTTTCTAAACTCTATACTTTCGATAATAATTTTCAAATTTGCGATAGAATTGATCTAGAATAAAAACCTGGGCGAAAACTAAGACACTAAGGGGAAAAAAAATAAAGGTCATGCTAGAAATGTTAAAATGAATAATAATAACAATAACATGCTTAGAGTACAATGTAATATATGCTTAATTCAGCCTTTTAACTTCCGACCTATCAGTCGTTCATTCACATTTTCATCTGCTTTCTCAAAAAGGATGAAAATGCTAAGCGATGTAAATAGTCTGTAAAGACCTGTTCAAGCATCAATTTATTGAACGTAACTCCTAGCTTAGTAAAATGAATTGTTTCCTTGAACTGCTTAACAAATGCTGCTAAATATCTGAGGATTTAAACTGTAGCACACAGATTAGATAGGGTGAAAACCAACTGAGCTAGCAAATGTTCCAGCTTAATTTCTGTTATTATCATAGTAAATAGTAATTATGAGGCATTGTCTCTATGTTATCAATCCGCTAGTTTTAATGGTTTTGATTTTGCATTTCAATTAAATAGTAACCTTATTTGAGGTTCAGATGAAGTTATTATTTTTGTATCACACCAAATTTTACGATTACTAAATTCGTCTGGCATATGAATAACTTGTTAAATGGCAGAAGGCCAAGTAAAAGCAGAAAGATCTCCAGAGGAAATACTAGAAAGTCTGCATAATTCTTTTTTTAAATAGAACTTAAAGGACATTCAATTTCTGGTTAATTATTTCTCAAGAATGCGAGAATTATGGTAGAACTCATTCGTCATTTAACTATCTCATTACTGAGAATTTCACCTAGTGTGTGCTTCAGGGTATGACCGACATTACATCTTTTAGAAGTGAGAAGAAACCTTACAGGGCAGTGGAGCCGCACCCTTTATTTAGGACTAGTATTCAGTTTTCCCATTGCTCAAAGCGGCACGAGAGAAAACACAACAGTTCAAATTCTTCAATTTTTAGTACAAAAGTTCCTGATATAACTGATGAACTTATATTTGTTGTCTTTACTTTCAATGAAAGAGAGTTGGTGCATTCTGAATGAAGGTGTCACGATAATGAACATAAATGAAGAAGCTGCGCCCTCTCATGGCCGGCAACATGAAATTGTAACGTCTTATGCTGGATTCAAAATTACCTATGACTCACCCGTTTACTTAGCCAACTGGGTGAAGAAGACGCTTAGCACAAATTAAAATTTTTAGTGTGTTATTTATATTCCAAATATGTTCATTTAAATTTAGACTGGTAAAAATTTACGTGCGTCGCGCTGGTTTTAAACATCCATTATCAAAGTCAGAAAGATCTTAGTCCAGCCAAAACAAATTTCGCTGTTGAAAACAAAATTGGAATTGATCTGCATTCTCTGGAGTATTTCTAGCCAGAATAAGTATACTTAACATTTTTCATTAGATTTTTAAGTCTTTCTTATTGAATTTAAAGCTAAAACCTCGAGAATGTGGCTGATTGTTAAAACACAATTTGCATCCTTTTCTTGAGTCACTCGATAACTTCTCTTTTCTATACCGTTAAAAATATCGGAACCAAAATTTGACAGTTTTCGTTTTGTTCCTAAGTGACCAATATTAGGTAATATTATTTGAATATGGCAAAGCAAATGATGGCTATCTTTCTAAAAGGAGGGGCTGCCTTCATGGAGCCCCTCTTTTAGGAGATCCTCTTTTAGGGATTTTATGGAGGATTTGCTAAGGGAAACTGGTTCGTATTCACGTTACAAGCGTTGAAAACAGCGGAAACTCACCATGCAGCCAGCCTGTTTGCTTAGGATCGAATCCGGTTTGAACTCCCAGCATTTAGCGGTCTTAAGCACTCGGCCATTGGTGAAGGCCTCAGCCGCCAAATCTGAAGGAAGTTCGAAAAACTTACACGAAACGCTACCAAAAACATAAAAATCATAACAAACACTGATCGTTGTTTACATTTATTGAGAAGTGATATTAATCTGGAACGAGAACAAAATAAGCAGTAATTCAACGATAACAATTTTCAAGCAACAAAACGAGAAATGCGAGTTTAAAAATTTATTCTGCGATTTAATGGGAGTTTTACGTCGGCGAATTTGAAGGCAGCATGTCAAAAAGTCAAGACCCAGAAAAACTATAAAATGATAAAATGACAACTAAACAAACATAAATAGTTCTAAGTATGCTTAATTACTTTGATTTTTTCTGCAAATTTGCTTTCATTGGTTCTAACATATTCGTGCTTCTAGATAGTCATAGACATTTTTATTATTACCATTACTTACGTGTTCCGCACTAAGGCTCTACATGGAAAGGAGCGATGCCTTCGTGGAGGACTTTCTAAGGAATACTGGCTTGTATTAACACGTTACGCATGGGCAAAACTACGAAAACGCCCATGGAGTCAGCCCGTTCGCGGCATTCGAAACTCGGATATTGAAAGACTTTACCGCACGGCTGCTGGTGAGCCGTTATAGATATTTGTAATATAAATTTTAAATTTCGAATTATTAGTAACGACATTTTCATCTTTAGTAGTACAGATACCCAATTCTTTCTAAACCATATAAAATTAAACTTTTATTGAAGTTATTTACAAGTAGTCTTTTATTTATTTTTTAATTTATTATTATTAATGAATTTAAATTATACGAGAAAAATAATACATTACAGTGTCTAATTTTGAAAGAAGCTATTAATTAAGGTAAATGTGTACAACATACCCATATTACGAATAACATTTAGCCTATAAAATAGTGACTTAGAAATTCAGCAAATACCAGACAGTAAACACAAAGCAAAAACGGTTTGTCTATAGATGCAGATAGGTTAATTGTTTCGTCTATTCCTCGAATTAGGTAGCTGACCTCATCAAAAGTCGAGTTTGGCTAAAAATCTGTTCTTTTAATTTCATATTTTAAAAAGTTGCACTCTTAGCATAAAAAACACTTTCTTTTCTTGATATGTTTATTAGAAGTAGAGATATACCAGTGTTTCTGAGAGACGATATTTAGCCTATAAAATAGTGACTTAGAAAATTCAGCAAATACCCAGACAGTAAACACAAAGCAAAAACGGTTTGTCTATAGATGCAGATAGGTTAATTGTTCTTCGTCTATTCCTCGAATTAGGTAGCTGACCTCATTCAAAAAGTCGATTTTGGCTAAAAATCTGTTCTTTTTAATTTCATATTTTTAAAAGTTGCACTCTTAGCTATAAAAAACAACTTTTCTTTTCTTGATATGTTTATTAGAAGTAGAGATATACCAGTGTTTCTGAGAGACGACAAACCGGAAATTATTGTTTGTCACAGCGGAAGTAAAAGTTTAAAGAGCAAATTAAAAATGCAGTTTTCGCCCTTTTTTATGTTATTTGTTAACTACATAATTTTAAGTATTTCAATTAGTTTGGAGAATCTGGGAAAGTATTTTTATTATGTATTTTCTCCGTATTATGTAATCCGTTTGGCAACGTGAGTAGTTCTGTATACATGTCACGTAAAGCTAATCTGAAACTTTTAATGCGATTTTTGATAATTTTTTTTATGATTTATGTTCACAGCAACTATGACAACGCTAAAAGCTCCTTATAGAATCACTTGAAATTTTGCAGACAGTTTGTATATTATTAGGCATGATGTAGGTTAAAAGCAAGAAAATTAGCCTTACAGAATTTAAATTATATCATTTTTCCTTGCTACTATAGACACATTTAAAAAAAGTTTTATGTGTTGACTAACATATTTTAGCCATACATCACTAGTGAATATTTTCCAATTATTATAGTTCACTGTATGTTTATACAGTGATATATATAAATATATATCAAAAATATATATTTATCATCATTATTTTCTGGTCAGTGATGGTTGATGTTTTAGTAATTTGGATGTAAATTTTCCAGTTTTTTTGCATAATTTTCACAAAATAATGAATTTTTATCATTTTTGTAGTGTTTAAGTGTGAGCGTATTCCAACAAAAACGTCATAAATATACTAAGAATTTGAAAGAGGCCCTTCAAACGAGGTCAGTTAACATTGATTCCGGTTTTAAAAATATGTTAATATATATTACATTTTCATTTTCATTCTTGTGTATACATAAAAAGTAATGTTTTAGTTCAATTTGTGTGTCTCTCCCAACAAGTGAAAATATTTGCATTGATTTTCTTTCTCTTTCGACATAAATGAACTATATTTTAATACAGAAGCCTGAATTTTCGGCCACAGCTTTCACCTTTCTGCGTTTTTCCATCATGATCGTTTAAAGGTCTTCAAATTCCCTTAATCTGATATTATTCTGTGAGTATCGTGCATACGATTTGACAAGTTTTTGTAGCAAAATGTCTTTCAAGCGTAATTTTTGTCATTAGGTGAACTTATCATGCATGAACTTGAATATGTGCACAATACAGCAACAGCCTTCAATGTGCATGTTATACTATAAGAGTGCGTGTTGTAGAAGGTTATAAAGTTATTTGAGGCACCGCTGTTGCTAAACAACAGTGGCATCAGTTCCACACACAAGGCTTATGTTGCCTCTCTGCCCCAGTCTCCGCTCAGGCTATCCACACGATTCGATTTCATTCCCATCAAGAAACATCAAACTCATCTTCATCTTTTCAGGACATAGTTTGGATCAGCACAACTTTCCTTAATCATCTACGTGATAGTATTCTAGCATCGAATATTGAGGTGAATAATAAATATTCATGTAATTGCTGCAGTTTTACCCTTTTAAACTTTTTGGATTAAATGACATTAATGCACCCTTCATCATTTTCTTTTTGTGGTCGATTAAGATATTTATTCTTTCCTTCTAAAATTTAGATAGCATATCAAAGTATCAATCCGAAACTTTGGAGCCCAAACAAATCCGAGAGCTATTTTTCTAGTGATGCAAACCAAAGAAATATTTAAATTTAAGATATAATATTCTTATGTTAATGTGTAGAATTTGTCGAATATAATGTACATTTTAGCTCAATAGATTCGATAATTAGATTTATAAAAGGTACATTAAGCCTAACACTACAAAGAGAAAATGCACATCCCGCACAAAAAGGGGGGTGACAGTTCTTTATTTTCCTTTCAACTGAGCCAATTGACGAAATTTAGGTTACATTTTTCATGGCTCGAAAGCTGACTTGGGATATGTATTAGATTTACACATAGCATTGTTCCAACATAGGTATTCTCATATAAAATCGGACCTTTTTTCTGAAAAGACATATCCATTTTTTCCATATTACAATCATACGACTGAAATTATACCTAAACATTAAATTTTGAAACAACTGGTTAGAAACTTACCGAGAAATTAAAAAAAAAAATATCTTGGAACACTTTTTTTAGTTTGCGCGAAGAACAATTCAAAATTGGCGTAATTCTTAATTTATGGTAACCTATTTTCCTTCCCTTTCATTGCGCTCGAGCAGAAAAAAGGTACATCTTTCATTCTTCCAAAGAATTTTATTCAGGTGCGTAAACCACATTTGACGTTAATATCGCTTATAACAAATATGCCAAATTTTAAAATGCTCCAATATGCAAATTCACGTATTTCTTGGAAAATTTTGAATAAAATTTTGTAATGTTTTGTAGGCATGCTAAGAAATGCATTTACTTTGAAGTGATGGTAAAAACTTCATAATTCAAAAAGCTTTTCGAAAAATTGCTAAAAAATACAAACTTTAAAAAGAAACCAGAGAATATTTGCGAATTTTATTTGGATTGAACCTAAATTTCGAATTGTGAAAGAAGGAATCAAGCGAGCTTAATAAAAAAAGGGATATTAATGAATATATATCCCATTTTAATAACATTGAGGAGCTAAAATTTTGAAAGCTAATTTTTTCAATATTGGTATGTCATCTCATATAATCTAATTTACACTTTTGAGGCATGAAAATCGCGTTAAATTTCGTCAGTCGGCCCAGTAGAAAGGGGTGTTTAGAACGGTTCTCTCCTCATTTTTTTATGAAGAATGTACCTGTGCACAATTTGAAATTTTCAGGTCAGTCATTTATTGACAGATAACATAAGCATTTAAAAGTTTTGTACTCCACAATTTATTTTAAAATGCATTTATTTATATAATCCCAGAATATGTGAGGTACGGCATAAGGCATAACGCTCAAGTATAGCTGAAATTCTCTCCAAGAGCTTCTAGTTTTTTCGGCTTTATTTAAGACATTTCGTGGTAAGATATGTTTTTCTAGAACATAGGGAAAAAATCATATTTTTGAACTTCTATTATATCTGACATTTGAATTAAAGCATTCAGCTTTCATAGGTCTTCTAAAGGTGGGGCTGTTGGGGTGCATATATTGTAAGAGTTGTGAACATTTGAAGGCCCAGAAGGTAGAGAAGTGTTTCGTTTCACGTTTTGTGGTACTGGAATGAACTGCATTTGTTGCTGAAATTTCATATTTTGTTGCATATCACCCGAAGATATAGTTGGTATGTGATTTTGTCCAGGTGCCAGGTCTAGTGGAATCTGAGTATTTTTGGATCTACACTTTCTGAAGCGTCCGAAGATACAGCAGTATAAAAGTCCGACGCAACTAAGAACGACCACTAGGCATGCAATCGCAATGCCAATGACAGCACCTGTAGACAGGGCATTCTTCTTGCTTTCTTCGACTATGCGGTTATTATGAATGTTGCTGATGTAACCTATATGAAAAAGGAAGCCTTTTCATTTTAAGGTAAATGAACATAAGCTTTTATTAAAAAAAAGCAAAATATGGTAAGTGTTTAAATATTACATATTTGATACTTACCATACTAAGTTATATATTTTGAAAGAAAATTACTTCAGTGTTCGTTACTCTTGAATGGATACTAAATAGGAAAAATGTTGCGAGAAACCTAACATTTACTTGTGTGAAGTTGCTGTCGAAATCAAGTATATCGAAATTCTATAAAAACATTAATCTCAGTGTATGTGTATTAGTGAAACAGGGAATTACTTTTGACTAGCGTTCCAAGCAAATTGTTCAAATAAAGAGGCTCTGTGCTCTATACATGCATCTCTCAAAGTTATTTACAAAGGAAGTCTCTCAACCTTGAATTATTTTTTCTTGATCGAAATACAAAGAATCAAGTAAGTCTGCTCACCTAGATATACATTAAAAATGAAAATTTGATGTCTGAAGAAATGAGCCCAGACTACAAGAAATTTTAAAATCACCTACTGTAGAAAGATGTCTCATACCGTAGTAGTTTTAGGGCGAAACAAATAAACTGATATCAAGTAATAATAAACCCATTGATTAATGTATAACATAGAAGTGCAGTGAAAAAAATTATAAAAACTGTGATGTTTTACATTAGCTGCATTGAACGCACTGAAGCTAATTAGAAGATTCATAACTACAGAACTACAAATAACTGCAGTTATTTTACATAATACAAATTCAATAAGATTTTCGACCTTAATGAGGTGTGCCTTCTTTGTATATGCATATTCACATAACTGAATTCTTTACTTTGGTAAAAAATTAAATTCACTGTCTGCTTAACTTTTAACTTTTAGACTTTGGCAGTTAATTTGAGTGCAGTGTACTAAAAACGAAATTTTTAAGAAACGTCAGAATAGTTTGCATTTAACGAGAGTCAGAGTGATTTGAAATTAAACAAAAATAAAAAAAAAATTGTTTATAATTAACTTATACGCAGACTGAGACTGCAGTGTTTTACAAAATGAATTTTTTTTCAAGTGTTTTCTTCACCTAAACCTGTCGAAAAAAATAATTCTTAGATTGAGTAGAATTTATAAAGTGTGTCTTTGGTGACTAAACATTTATTCACTTTTGTTTATGTATAAGACTTTAGTCGTTAATTTTAATTCGATAGCTTTCATTTTAGAGTGTAGAACTGTATTTCTTATCGGTATAAGATTAAAGTGAGTACAGATTGCAGTCTTGCTCAAAACCTGAAGAAACGTTTTTCGTAAACATTGAAATTATTGAAAATAAGGTAATACACATAATTTTTCTAATGTTTTTGTTCAATTATGTATACGAAATGTTAAGAAATTAAATGCTAATTTAAATTTTTTAACACTGCATTTGAACATTATGAGAAAAGCTGAGAGCTCTAGGTTGGAAGATTTACCTTATTAATAATCTTATAAGAATAACATATTCTTTTTGACATTAATTATGCAAATATATAATTTGAAAATTTGGTCCTTTTTACTTCCTTGTACGAAGTAAAAAGGAAGTATTGTAATCGCGAAAAGTTTCAGGCAGCATATTTCAACGAAAATATCCTATTTTGACCCCTTTCAAATGCAATTTAACGATGTATTTCCGTGATATCTGTATGTAAGGACAGAATAAAAAACTCGTTTCCTCCAAAAAAATTATAAAACTGCTTTAAAATGAATTCTGAAGAGAATTTTTCGTGGCGTCTCTACGAACGTATGTACGTACGTGTGTACGTACGTATCTCGCAAAACTCAAAAACGAGTAACCTCAGAACGTTGAAATTTTGTATATAGGACTGCTATAACATGTAGATGTGCACCTCGTATTTTGGTTGCAATCGGCTGCACCAAACGTATATAAATATATTATATATATATCCACTCTGTTACCCGGCTCAGTGATCTCAGTTCTTTAGTGTTATATGTTCGTAAATTGTACATTTTTTGCTTTTTTAAAAATGATTTTGAATTATGTTGTTTTCTTTTCTTATCTTCCGGTTAAGGTTTTTATGCCTTTAGTAAATCTGTATGCATAATTTTAGAATTATCAACAATTTTAAAATTGTTTAAGTGCCGCTAAGCCTAATAATATTTTTTATGGCGGCCATGGATTGTTTACATTTGAAACAGCAGATTAGTGGATTTGTTGCCAATCTAGAGAAACTTAGCTTCGCAACAACAAAGATAACGCTTTCATTTATTATTGCCAATTAAATCGTGCTTAATCCTTTATGGAATTTTTTCGAGGAAATAAGCGTTTAAGATTTACTTCGTAATTTTTAATACAGATATTTTGAGATTTTATGTATTTTTGCCATGTCGCGAAGTGAAACGGAATTAATTGAATGAGAAAGAAACTATTCGTTTGTGAAAAAACTGTTTCTGTTTTTTTTGTTGTGTTTCTTAATTTCTTTATACATCGTTCTAGCTTTATTATAGTATTTGAATAGAACATGTGGCAACGATTAGATAATTCTTTTTAAATGATATAAATTTTGTGCTTTATGAGTTATAATATGACGAAATATAATACTGTTAAGTAAACCTAGCGCAGAGTGTCGCTATGGTAAACAAAGTGAATTTTAAAGAATGCATTTATTCTATTGTGGGTTTTATGCGCTGTCGGCGAGTAGGTTTAATTTAATCTAATAAGTTTAAATAAAAAGCAAGAAAAAATACGTATAATTTAATATTCCGTACAAGGAAGTCATGTGGTGTACACATCAGATTTTTTTTCTTTGACTTTATGAGAAGCCTCTCTTGGAAACGTTTTGTTGTGGCTGTGATGAAGGAGTGGAAGAAGAAAAATTATACAAAATTTTCTTTTGATATTACAAGGGATAAGAGCTTATTATTGAAATTGCTTATAATTTGCTCTGAATAACAAACTTAATGATTGTGGAATAACCTTCTTGTGCAAAACAAAACGATATATAGTTAAGTTATAAACAGCTGTAATGTTAGTTTGATAGTTGGAAAAATTTACAGTGTAATTATCTTATATAACAGCTTAAAATGTGATCTTCGAGTGAATTCATTTACTAAGAGATAACACAAGCATTGAGTAAATTACATCTAATCTTGAGTTTAAGTAGTTTGTGCAATTTGAATTGATGATAATTCACACCGTTTGGGCCTTTTTGTAGACTTTTTTGACAGAGTTGTACAAATTAACAATCATTTACAAAAGTCTAGGAAAGAAATATTACACATTCTAGCTAAATAAGCTGATTATTTCAGAACAATTAAGTTAAATAACTGTGCATGAAATCTTAAATAAACCGTGAACTCCGAAAAATATAAACCCGCAATTTTGTTTGCGGATAGAGAAAATAAAAGGCAGTACAGCAAGTAGAGAATAAATTCAAAACAAAAGCTTTGCTCCGACGAATCATACATACTATTTGACATGATTGGTTGGTTCTGAACGGCTTTCAAAAAACAGCTCAGCTAAATGTTTAAGAACAGAACGGAAAGAGACACAGATGTGCAATGAAAATATCAAGAAAAATTCACTGTTCCCACTAATGGAAACTGTTAGAGAAAACTGTGATTCAAGGTATGTCAAAAAGGCTATCTAAATTTATCTTGATCAGTTGCTAGCAAATACATGGTGCCAGTTTAAGTATGATTCCAATGTGATTTTAATTCACAATCTGGTAAGCAATATAAATTTTTATTATTGTCAAGCTTAAAAATCATCTTTAAGTACTCAAAACTTCTGAAAAAATTACACTTCGTTTTAAGATTTATTGTCCCTTACTCTTTTAAAATACTATAAATAAGTCCTTTATAACTAAGATTTAGTTTAGATATCTAAACATGTAAGAATGTATCTAAGTGTAAACATGCATATTTATAAAAGAATAAAATTACGAAAAAAATGAAAATTAAAAAAATAGATTTAAACAAACGTTTCTAACTCACATTAAGCTGCAACAAAAAGTAGTTTATATGTAAAAGAAAATTTTTGACATAAGGAGAAAAAGAAAATATTTAATGTAATAAATTTTCTTCAGGACAAATGTGTCAAAAGATTCAATACAAACAATTAGACATAAAAGATTTTAAAAGTCATTAGACAGGCATTAAAAGGATATTGCAGTGGAGAAATATTTCTACTTTCTGACAGCTGCAATTTGCTTTGAGCTTATAATTCTAGATGATTTTGGTCATTTATGAAGCGGTTGTCTTAGTATATATCAATGACAATGCAAAGCAAAAGCATGTGAAATAAACATTCATATCTTTGATAAGTGATATAATAACAATATAAATAATTGTAAATAAGCAAGCGTGCAGAAAAGTAGAACATGGAAATAATTAAATTACTTCCAGAGTAATAATTTAATTACTTTTTACTTTTTACTTTTTTTACTACTCTAAATATAAGAAGATACAGAATGATTTGGAAATGAAATCGCAAATAACGTGTGATTGCATCAAAAACAGGGAGCATAAGCTCAATGTATAATATAAGTCCCTAATCGTTTTATTGCCCCTTACGAAGTTTTTCTTTGTTCAGCTCTCACTAACCTTACAATAATGAAATACTAGATGTCATCTGAGCATGATCTCTAGGTACTGACAGAATAAGCTTTGAAATTTTCAGGCATTTTTTGCACCTTGATTGCACGCAATTATGAATTAAATCTTATTTCGAGAAGAGACTAGTAAAGATTAAAGGTTCTCAAACTACTCAAAGTTATAATTCTGACAAATATGTAGATTTTGACCACAGCATATGTAGTGATGTATAGTGAAAAGAGCATTTGTGGATGCTTTATATTATTATATGTAGAGAATTGTGAGTAGGTTTTTGATGTTGTGCATTGCTTTTTGCATTATTATTTGGAAAAGAAATGAGTTTACACCTTGGACCAACATATCTAAATGATCAATTGGCATGGTTTGATATGATTCTTGAAAAAATATGCAAATAGTAATCAAGTTGTAAGGTGTATTTTAATTCTATAACAGTTATTTTTAATTTTGAAACCCCTTCCTTTCTCTTCTTGTTTCTCACTTACACCTTCTTACCAGAATGAGTTTTAGAATCGCTTTGAATGCAAGTGAGTTAGAAGAAGTATTTAAAGGAAGTTCAACTTACTTCGAGAGAGAGTGCTTCTAGTGGCGCGTGTTTGTCTCCTGCCTATTTCGGTCTTAAATCTATTACGCTCAGCCGTATTGTACGTGCCCCTTGAGAACCGCCGGCTAGTTTAATTTAAGGGCCAAATACGTTAGGTACTTGTGTCTAGCTTCGGCTAAGTCTATTTAGTTTACTATTAGATTAGTTTCTTATTTTCTGACCCTGATTTAAAAGCCCAAATGGAAGCTTTACTGTAAGCCCAAGAAGGAGCCATCTGTTATTATATTTTTGTGTAAATAAAAAGGTGTTTTAACCCTTCTTAAATCTCTGTATCAACTGCTTGGTGATAATTCGCTACTTAGTTCAATAGGTTCATCGACATTTTATCTAGACAAGGTATTGAAGAACATTTTAAAGTGAATGTTTAAGAGCTAGTTTAAAAATTTCAAAAAGCATTCAGATTTTTCAGGAGAATTTTTTGCTCTCCATCGGACCACTAACGTTTTCGTAGATCATCACAACGCTTATGTTAGGAAATGATAATGTACATTTAATAGGAGATACTCTTTTTTTTGACAATAAAGTGACATGTTCTCTCTGCAGAATTCATTTCTGAAATACTAAAAACCTCTCCTCTCAAAAGTCATAGACACTTAAGGGAGGGTTACTTTTTATATATTCAGTAGCTTTAAAAAAATGCTATATTTATGTGAATTGCATTCATTTTTTAAAGTATTTTGAAAAATATAAACCTTAAAAATTGTTTGTATAATACTATTTCAGAAATTTATTAATGCTTTCCAACTGCCTGCTGCTACGATACTAGATGAAAATATTGCCCTAAAGCATTATTAGGTTTGAAATTTTACATGCTACATTCTTTAAGCAATTTTAGAAAAAGTCGTGCAGTTTCTCTTTTAATGTTAACACATGTATGAGAATGCAAATTTTGTCAGCTGTCATTTTGATTTGTCCCGTGGCGTTAGTATTTACGAAGACATCATTTATTCATTTAAAAAGTAACGTGTTTTTAAATTAATTAATTGCTTTATAACATAAAGTAAAAAGATATAACTTTGGCCTCGTTTCACAATTCTAGTATTAAGAATTATTGCTATATATGATATATTAAAAGTTGATTCATATTTGATGGACTAAAATCAATTCTATATTTTCAATTATTCATCAAATTTTAGCCAATAAATTTATGTTAACTACTTACCGCTATATCCATGATGCAACTTTTCATCATTTTCGGCGGTGTAATGGTCTAGGAGAAAAAACAAATTCTGAAATTTCGAAGTAAATTAAATGTACTTAGAAGACAACTATAAGGAAACTAAAGTTAATGCTTGAAATTCATGTCAGTAAAGAAATATAAAGCAAGGAAATAGGAAAAACGGAGCTCATTGCATAGCTTTTCCAAAAAAGTAAAAACGGAATCTGAAAATTCGTTGGCTAACAGCCAGGATCAAGTTCTAATCTATACAGCGAAGAGCGGTTTTATATAAAACATGCGAATTAGAATAGTTGGATATTGGTTTTTTTCCCCTCTTACATGCCTACATAAACATTTTTAGTTTAACTACCTACTATCTGTAACACCACAGCTTTCCCTCTTCAAACTGTAATACAATCCTACTAATGCCCTTGTAAGGCCATGTACTTCCCTTTGACAACCTCAATAATCTCCTGGTGCAGCCTCGTGTGGTTCCAGGTTCCTCGTGTGGTTTTGCCGTAGTTAGAGGAGGGTTTGGAACACATGCCTGTTTACCTCTGTTAGACACCAGGCGTTCCAGTCCTCCGTAACCTACCTACCTACCTACCTACCTCTTACATGCCTGCCAATGACATCCTTTTGTGACTTACCAATATCTTTATTCACAATTTTGTTACGTTTTCTATGCTAAACGACTTTCACACAAGTAATTTATAAGTTTCAAAGTCTAAAAATGCGTTATTAATATTCTCATGAAGTATTTTTACTTTATAAACATACTTAGATAATCCTAAAAATCATTAAACATTAAAGTAGAAAGATTTTTAATTTTTAATTAATGCAAGTAATATAAAGAGCTGGTTGCACGCCTACACTAAAGCTTGGAAGTGTTTTCTAGAACACAAATTCTATAAGGTTCTGTAAATAAGGTCTCATTTTTGAAAATAAATATTAAAATGACTAATAGTTTTCACAATAATCTGCATAAACATATTCATCACGTAAAGCTGTTAACATTATAAACATTTTTCAGAATAGTGTCTTTTTTCCCTCTTTAGCTACCCATAAATGTACATATTTTGGTTTTCAATTAGTGTTGTAGAGACATTAAGATAATTTTTTGAATCCAAGAAACATGAAAAATGAGCAATGCCCTCGCCGGGACTCAAAACACGGACCTCACGAATATGCATTAAGTGTACTGGCCATTACACCACGAAGGCATGCTAAGAAGGCGGAAAAGTACCTTATAGTGTACGGCCCCTATATATCAAATGTCACGATCAGTTTGTATTGCAAAAGCTACAAACGTAATGTTTTTACTTTTCAAAACAAATCGAGAGATTTCCTAAATATAAGTATAGAAACCAAAGGAAAGTGTAAAAAGTAAATTTCGTAATTTTTATAAAAATGATTTCTTTAAATTTAAAATGCCAAAATATGAATCTTTGCATCATTTAAAACACTTTTTATAAGCAGAAGCATATAATTTAATTTCCTTTTAAAATTTTATTAAGAAGATGAATTTCTTCTTATTGTTCAATTTCTGTGTAAACTTTTTTAATTATAGTAATTTATTTAAAAATTGCATTTGCCATTATTTTTTAGAGATGTTGGGGTACCAGTTCATAAATTTTAATGTAGAACAATTAAACGCTCTTCTTTTTATCAAGCAGTCTAATTTCTGTAAGATTATGAACGCTAAGATCCAGATAATTTATAACTAAATTTTTTTTATTGGTTTTATTAAGTTTTAGACAGTTGGGGTGAATGTTGCTAATTTCATTAAGATTATTAGTGTTGAATGTAATAATATTCCTGCAGCTATAGTGCAGGACGAGTTTAATTTATTTTTTTTTTTTTTTTTTTTTTTTTTTTTTTTTTTTTTTTTTTTTTTTTTTACTTTTAGCCTAGCCTATTATTTATGCTTCTTTATAGATAAACCTAAAGCATTAAGTAGTAAATTCGAATGTCATTAATTAGTAAATTTAGATGCTTAAAATTTATTCTATTGCAATCCTGCAGCGCAGGACGGTAAAAAAAAATTTTTATAATTCAAATTTTTAGCCTATTTTTAATACTATATTTATATATAATATTTATCTACTAAAGAAATATTGACCATATTATCTTCTAATATAAATGTAGTAGTTTTCCTAATATACATGTAGTAGAATGCATCAAAATGAGGAAACCCAGAAGTATGAAATTTAACTCCGAAATAAATTCCAATTTAAGAGATACGAGCAAGTGTTTATAGTAAAGAGGCTGCTAACCTTCAGTACACTAAAGCTTTTGTAGAAAAACTTTAAACTTAAAAATAAGAAGCGAAGATAATATATTGGTGTAATGCATCAATAAAGATAAATAGCGCTAATATCAAATCTTGAATGAGTTAAAATTCATTGAAATCGGAAAAGGTGTTTCTAATACTTGCGCAATAGCTGCAAAGTAAGATGATAATAATTTATCTACTAAGGAAATGTTGACCATATTATCTCCTAATATAAATCAAGTAGAATGCATCAAAATGAGGCAACTCAGAAGTATGAAATTTAACTCCGAAATAAATTCAATTTGAGAGCCTGCGTGCCATTATCATCTTAAAAGTACTCTCCTTCAGCATTCACACATTCCTAAATTCGGTGCTGCCATTGCTGATAACAGTTTTGAAACGAAGTTTTGTGAAACGCCCTTCAGGAGATTCTCCATGTTTGCCTGAACCTCTTGAACTGTGGTAAAATGGCCCTTTAAGCAATATTTAACTTTAGGAAATAAAAAAAAAGTCGCATGAAGTAAAATCAAGTGAATAAGGAGGATGCCCCAGGACAGTAATGTTTTTGCTGGTCAGAAACTGCTTAACAGATAAGGCCGTGTAAGTCAGTGCATTGTCTTGGTGCAACAACGATTCATCACTCCCCAACTGTGGACTTATTTTCCTAATTTTTTCTTGAAGTCTTTCCAGTACTTCAATGTAGTAGTGCTGATTAACAATCTGACCACTGGGTTTTTGATGAACGTGCTGGGACCCCCCCCAGGAAGTTCATCATCTTCCACACCTTCCCTTCCCCCTAAAAGCCGCTTATGCCATTCAAGCACACGTGCATGAGACAAAGTTTCATCTCCATAAGCATTTGAAACATTTGTTAACATTCGAAGTGTTTCCTCCGTGACTGATTTCTTAAGTTTCACAAGAAACTTGATGTTAATTCGCTGTTCGGTTTTTGCATTACACATTTTTCCGGCATAATCAGTTGCACATGTTCACTCAATGATGCAGTTTTCCCAACTGGCGTGATCGGTTAAATCGAAACTGGTCTCATGGATAGAGGAGGAGTGTGACATGACGTCACCAAAGCAGTTGTTGCCAACTCCGCTCTTCTTTCAAGCTACACACTTAGTCTTCTTTTTTTTTTCACTTTTTGTATATATATATATTTATATATAATGGATAGAAAATAAAAAAAAAGGATATTTACTTCACATATATAATATAGAGATAAATTATTAAAATCTTCTAAATCGTATCCTGATGTATTCCCTTGTGTTATTCTTATGTATTTCCCACTATTACTATCAAATTTACAAATGACAAGTAACTATTTTTTTAGGGGGGGGGGAGAATTAGTAATATTGTTAAACTCTAACTATAAAAAAATATTGTAAATAATCCAATAAATGCAATCAGGGATTCTGAGTAAATCAATAAAGAGATGATAAGGATAAAAGATTTTAAAATTCGAGTATTAAGAGTTCCAGCAAAATTAAAGAAAATAATCAAAATTTAGGGTACAAAAGGAAGCTTAAAAAATGCAAACTGTTTACTTCAGAGATATTCCGTGCCATTAGATGGACAAAATTTTATCCATTTATATGGGACTCAGTTATTTTTTATATAGTTCAGATTCTAGGTTTCACCTAGGCTCTAGATGTTACCCAAAACTTACATAAATATAATTTTCATTTCCTTTTAATGGAATTTTTCTTCTTATCGAGAGCTTCACGAATTCAGCAATTCTGATGACCTAATAAATAACAAACCTTTTCTCAATTCTGATGATCTAGTGAGTTGCAGTTTTGTTCTCAAACTGTGGATATATGAGTGTAAGAAAAGTAAAGACTATGTAAAAGATTAAATCAGGAACGTAAATTTCCCTTCTGTGTTCTAAAAGTAGTAACTCTATTTGCACTGCGTCATTTCGAGACTGATCTATGTCATATGACTCTTACATAATTCTGATGATATAAATGAAACTAAAACAGCAAACAGTAATTTTATAGCAGTATTAACTATCCGATCAAATTGTTTTGAAAACCAAAACTAATTCAGTCTGAATTAAGATTTCACCCTAAACATAACTCACTTGCTTTCTACGCTTTCGCCTAGCTTGATAGCAGTCTGTCTCTGTCTGCTCTTTCTTTCTTACCGCAACTTTATCTAAAATGTATACTTTTTGGAACAGGCACATGTTTGCTGAAATAAAAAATCAAAATTTAATCTGCCTTCGACTCCAATTTCCTATTCATTATGGAT